CGAAAACATTGGTGAATGCCACAAATTCTCCTAAATCACTCGTACGCACAACTTAAGAACAAATCTGTGCGTACGAACGGTTCTTGCATGAGGCCCATTGTGAGACAATTTAGGACCAATTTCAAATATTTTTATCACCTTTTTCTTGGCAGTATAACCTATTTCTGTACTATGTACTGAGCCAATTTAAAACCCATAACAAAAAGGTTTTCTAATCCAGTTTCCCTCCCCCTCCCAGTGTAATATAATCCTGGGGGGCTGCCAGTCCTTACTTGCCCCCCTGCCAGACTAAGCGTCGTTTTCTTATTTAGAGCCAGCACCAGCAGAGATTGTGACAACTGTAAAGGTTTAAGACCTAGCATTAGCGACGTAGCGCTCCACGACCACAACATTAGAAACTATACGGTGATGCTACCCCCATCATTAAAAACATTACTGCTTCACTCTGCTAAACTCTCCCCAGAGTTAGCAGTGCTACCACCAGCCTTAGCAAGTTCCCTGAGGGAAACACTGTATTACTTTAGCATGTGAGCTTGTGTTTTCTTACCTAATATGTTTGAGTGTAGTTTGAAAACGTACAAGTAAAAGAACTRGACCAAAACAGAACAAAACAAAACAAAACAAAAAAAACAATCAACCAAAATATCCATCAGAATCCAAAAACTTAAAAAGAACTTCAGAAATCCTTAAAAAACTGGTGCAAGGAAACACTTAAAACCTAAAAGTTAGGCCTCTTCAGATCAAAATAAAAAACYACCATCATCCAGAACTGCACTGAATATAATGTCAACTGTATATAAATATAATTCAAGCCCTAAATATTCTGTCCTACTAAATCAAATCAATGTTTTTATATGAAGATACTGTGTGTGTTAATTCAGTGTTTCTGTATTTTTTGTTACAGATTATCCAGAATTCTGCCGCGTCCAGACAATTCCAGAAGAGTCCGACTCAAATCAGCTGGGATCTCTCTGAATTGGAGGCACTTCGACGGGATCTTGAAGTGGTGAAGAGAAAGCAACAGGCAGCGGAGGAGGAGACGGCACAGCTTCAGGCTGCGCTGAGCCGTAAAACCCACGAGTGCCAGGAACTGGCTCAGAGCCGGGACGCCATCCAGAAACAGGCCGACCAGCAGATTCAGGACCTGGAGGACGCCTTGGGAGATGTCCAGAAGCGAATGCTGGACTCTGAGTGCAAGGTCAAGCAGCTGCAAGCTCACGTCGTGGCCGTGAAGGAACACTTGGGCGGCCAGGCTACAGAGGAGCTGCGCGCGCAGCTGCTCGACGTGAAGTCCAAATACGAGGGCGCTTCGGCTGAAGTGGGCCGCGTTCGCAACCGCCTCAAACAGAGCGAGAAGGCCTTGGAGGAGTACAAGAGCAGTGAGAGCCAGCTGGCAGCAGAAACAGAGCGGCTGCACCAGGAGCTGGAGGCTCTGACCGGTGAACGAGACGGACTCGCAGACACCCTCCTGCAGAAGGAGGCCCAGCTGAAGGAGGCCCAGAGTAAACAGGCCAGCACAGTGCCCGCCGAGAAGTTCGACAACATGAAGAACCTGCTGACCAACGCCGTGGACGAGAAGGAGCGGCAGCTGGCCGAGCTCAGGGAGGACTACGACCGCGTGCTGGAGGACATGGCCGAGCTCCACCGGAAGTTAGACGGTCCATCATCCCAGGGACCACCGGGGCTGATGTCCACCGAGGAGCATCAGAGGGCGGTGGCTGCTCTGGAAGAACAGAACGCCTCTCTGAAACGCACGCTGATGGACGTGACCAACCGGAGCAAGGCTCTCATTCAGGAGCTGGAGGAGAGCGAGGAGGACCGGGARGTGCTGCGAGAGCAGCTGGACGAGCTGAACAGCCGGATCACGAGCGAGTTCATCCCCGCGAAGGATCACGAGGAGATCGGGAAGAACATGGTGACCGCTCTGGAGGAGCTGGAGGACAAACTGGTGGAAGCCAGCGAACGTTATGGAAAAGCCGAGGCGCAGGTTCAGCAGCTCCAAACGGAACGAGCCTCGTCGCAGGAGACCGTGCGCAGCCTCAGAGACACCTGCGATGCACATCAGAGGGACAAGGACGCGCTGGAGACTCAGAACGCTGAACTGACAAAGAAACTTGAACTCCTGCAGAAGAGAGCCGAAGACGAAGAGAGAGAACGAGAGCAGCTGACTGCACAGAACCAGACTCTGGAACAGAACATGAGGGAGCAGTTTGTTCCCAAACAGCAGCACGAGCAGGTGAAGCTGGAGCTGAGCTCTGCCTTAGAAAGGGTGAAAGCAGACATGTTGAAGTTGGAGACCAAGGAGAAGGAAAGTGGGATGGAGCTGAAGAATGTGAATGAAGGAAAGGAGAAGTTGAAAGAGCAGCTGGAAAAAGTTATGTTGAAGATGAAGCACGAGTATATCAGCGTGGAAAAGCACCGAGCCGTCACGGACAAGCTGAGCGCCGCTGCAGTCCAGGCAGAAAACCGGGCGAACGAAGCTTCAGCGAAGCACGCTGTGACTCAGGAGGAGGTGGCTAAACTCACCGAAGAACTGCAAGCTCAGAAGAAAGAACTGGACACCATACAGGAGGCGATTCAGTCCAAGTTTGTCCCGCTGACAGCAGCTGAGGAGAAGGAGACCTCCTACAGCGCCCAGGTGAAGGAGCTGACAAACAAGCTGAGGGAAGTGGAGGAAAAATACAACACAGAGAGAACAGAAAAGGAGAACGTCAGGAAGGAAAAAGAGAATCTGGAGTCTGATTTGAAGTGTGTTCAGCAGAGACTGGACGAGGTTTTGACTCGCAGTGAAACGCACAATAAAGCAGAGGAAGAGTTTCATTCTAAATGTGAGGTTTTGACTCAGAAGARGGTCAACTTGGAGCAACAGCTCAAGGAGGTAACCCTTCAGAAAGATGGCCTTCAGGAGCAGAATGCTCTGTGCAACGCTCAGATCCAGAACCTCCAAGAACGCCTGAAATCAGAGCTGAGTCGGATAGCAACCTATGACACGGAGCTGCAAACCCTCCATGACGCCACGCAGCAAGCTCACACAGACTGCAAGAGAGCCAGAGAGGCCCAGCAGGAGGAGGCCCAGAGAGTCTGCGTCTTACAGAAAGAGCTCCAGGATCACAGCCGGGACCAGACCTCCCTGCTGCAGCGACATGCTGAGGCCAGCGCAGCTCTGGAGGCCGAGGTGGCGAAGCTTCGAGCGTCTCTACGTGAAGAGGAAGAGAGCAACGCTCAGAGGGCCGAGGACGTGTCCGCCCTGCAGTCTGAGCTGCTTCAGGCCACCCAGGCCCTCGAGGAGATCCGCTACAAGGAAGACCAAACGAACCGGCTGGAGAAGGAGAGGCAGCAGCTGGAGGAGGAGGCTGCCAGCCTGAGCAACAAGCTGCAGACGCTGGCAGAGGAGCGAGACGAGGCCCTRCTGGAGGCGAGGCGAGCCAGAGAGGGCGAGAGCAAGGCCAGGGCCGAGCTGGAGGCCGTCCAGGAGAAGGGCCGAGCTGTGGAGACGGAAATCAGGGAGCTGAAGGGAAGGTACGACCAGTCACTCAGTACCATCTGTGACCTSCAGAAGAGGATTCAGACATCAGCTCAGCAGACTGAAACCAAAGATAAGAAGGTACAAAAACACAACGTCCTCATTATTATTTAGTTTGGAACACGTCGTCCAACTCATTTTCACACACAACCTGTTTGTGTTACTGAAACTGTTTGTTCTGTGGCGTTTTCTAAATGTTCACGTGTGTGTTTCAGATCACAGAGTTGTTGACAGATGTGGAGCGGCTGAAGCAGGCGCTGAACGGTCTGTCCCAGCTGGCCTACACCAGCAGCGCACCAACTAAGAGACACACGCAGCAAATCGACACACTGCAAACCCAGATCAAGAGCCTACAGCAACAGCTGGCTGTGAGTGGAGGTTACACCGCCAGAATAAAAACTTCTGTTCAGTAAAACCACTGCTGATTCATGTTTGGTGATAAATGGGAGTGGTTTTATGAATGTACTGGTATTTGTAGGGTTTTTGTAGCACATGTTATGACAGAATTCAGCATTTACTTCAGTGTCTGCTGTTTGTGCTGAAACCATCGAGGTAAACATGTTTGTTTTCTCCTCTGTAAGGATGCTGAGAGGCAGCACAGAGAGGTGGTCTCAATTTATCGCACTCACCTCCTGAGTGCAGCACAGGTGAGTTCCTCCATTCATTCACTGACTGCTAATACAATACAAAACTTCAAAACTGTCCAAGACTCTACATCACTATGCAAAAGTCTTAAATCAGATCTCATTTCTTTATATTGAGTTTTTCATGAGTCATCGCTGCTGGTGGCTTTGATCAATATTTCTTAAGTTTTAATAGATTTTTGTTCAGATGTTTCATGTACTAAGCACACCAAGTCCCCTAAAAAAAGTGACTTTCAGAAATCAAAACCAGTTCYAAATAAGATAAAAGCCTGAATCCTTAGAAGTAACGTGTAAAGAAATTATAATTTATTTCAGACTCTTTGTGCAGTACTGTATGGTAACGGGTCATTCTGTGTCACATCTTGCAAGACGAAGAAACTTTTAGGCCAGCCTTTTCAGATTTTGATGAAACTTGGCATCATTGCCAATTGTGATCCCTCTGCACAGTGTCTTCTATTTTAGGTCAATCAGACCAGTGGTTCCAGTGATATGCCAGCCCTCATTACAAATTTGGAATCTTATCAAATTCCCTTTCCAATGACACCAAGTTTGTGAGAATTGACCCAGTAGTTCTTGAGATAATTGGGGTTGAAAATAGGCAGACGTGTCCATTTTTAACCAAACAAATCTGAGCATTTGAAGTCCCACATCGTTGGAACCACTGGTGTGTTTGACCTAAAATATGTGCTGAGGGATCACAGTTGACAAATATGATCCATCACATCGAAACGAGGATTAAGTCCAAAACTGGGATGTGGAGAAATAGGCAGATATAGGGGTTGGATTTAAACACGTGCAAAAATTGCATTTTGTCAAAATATAATGAATTAATGCTTTATCAATGTATCAGTTGAATGAACTGTCTGAAATATAATCCTAAAATTTTTTTGAAGCATTTTTTGAGCAGTAGAAACAAAAAAAAAACTGATTTTGAGGAAAAACACCTTAAAATTTAGAAATTTTCCCTGTGAGCTTGCAATGTTTTTGTTTCTTTCCAATTGGGAAATCTTAATATACAAATACTATTTGAGGTTTCCTTTTTATATTAACATCAAAAATTCCTCAATAAATTTACATAAAACTAGGATTCAGACCAAACAGTAATGTATTATTGAAACCAACAAGACAAATTAAGTCATATCTCTGGATAAGCTTATTATATCAGAATAATCCAYGTATCAAAATGTAGCTTTTAAAACCAGGAATCTGAAAATGTAATTAGGTTATTTTGACCAAATTTGACTTAATCCTCATTTCGATATGATGGGTCACAATGCTAATTTTCATTAAAATCTGAGACTGTTGGGTTAAACTTATTAAATGATTTGGTGTGGAATGTAGGCCTGTAACGATAACAAATTTTACTGGGCGATAAATTGTCTCAGAAAGGATTGCCATAAACAATAGTATTGTTGGAGACCTAATATAAATAAACTAATATATTGTTATAACCCCCCAGGAAGTGTACATTAAAAACAACTGTGGCAATCCCAAGGCATCACCAGCTGTATGCAGGCGTCAGAAAACTGGCCTGTTCACAGGCTCTCATTAGTTAGGAAACCATGTGRCTGGCAAATACCTGATGCCACAGACCACTGCTCTCTACGCTGAGAGTAGAAAAGAGGGAGACACAAGTTAATTTATCTTCCTCAATTTAATTTATCAAACGGTTAACTGATTTATTGTTTATCGTGGCGGGCCCAGTGGAACGACCCATTAGCATTAACACTCTTTGTGTCTCAAAGGGTCACATGGATGCGGACGTTCAGGCGGCCTTACTGCAGATCATCCGAATGAGACAAGAGTTCCTGTGTTAAAGCCTCAAAGCTGCTGCTGGCCCCTCTTCYTCCTCGTCATCCTCGTCACATCTTCCCACCACAGCTGCCTTCCTTTGACCCCTGAGACTGCGTAGTGTATGTGTGTGTGTGTTTGTGTGTGTGTGTGAACACATTCTCCCAAAAGGCTGTTCTAAATTTCTAAAATGTTCTCTTTTATTTTTGTAGTTTAGCTGCTCTTTGATTCTTTGATAGAAGACTAACTGCAGCTTTTAATGTGCTTCAGCAGAAACACAGGAAGTTYAATCTCAATTGACAATACTAACGACTCATTTTAAACTTAAAACAGTTTATTTCACTTTTGTAAAATCTTTTAGGAATGACTTTAAATAGTTTTTATTCAAGCAGCTCTGACCCATTATTTCAGTAATCTAGAAGTTATTGGAAACCTGGGTTCTTTTGTTGSGTCATAAATGATCGCAAATCATAAAAAACCTGGACGTGAACCCAAAGACCACTTTTCACATTCCCACTGACAGTCACCATCGATACAGAAAGGTCTCGTTTTTATTTAAATGCAGCGTTGCTCAGCTTTAAAGGACAAGTTCATATTTTTTTTATTGTGCACGGGCGCTGAAGTGCAGCAGCGGGTTCCAAAGTTAGGGTCGGGGGACTCCATTGTGAGTCATGAAACACTAAGTGTGGGGTCTTAAGATAATCTTAAGGAATCAAACTAAATGTAAAAACAAAATGATTCTAGGTAACTTTTTACAATTATTGTTACAAGAGATAAAAAAAGCTGTTGTACATTAAAAAATAAGTAAAATGGTTCAGTTATAACTTAGTTCTTGTTATATCCTYTTGGTTTGACTTCTCAGACACATTTCTGTATGTCAGCAACATTTGGTGCCTGGAAGTCWTTTATTTTGTGTCATTTTGGGAACTACTGAGTGAGAGGATGTGTATTTATTCCTCCTGACATTCTGACCCAGTAGAATCTGTAAAAACAACTTGACATGTTTGACTATTTATACAAGTAAAAATAATTTTAAATCGATGTATGATAAGGCTGTTAAACTGAAGAGACAAAGAACTAAATAATATTTACCTGAAGGAAAGCTTGCGGCTCTGTTTCAGATATGATGTCTTAAAATGTGGTTAATATAAATGTAAATGAATAAATTTATTTCAGTACACTGAATAAATGTTAATACTTTTAAAGTTTAGTGATGATGAGAAGTCAAGACACCCCTGAGCATCTGTATTTGTATACATGAAAGTCTATTTTTACTCATAGTTTTTATTGTGTTTCCTTGTGAAGCAGCAGGGAATTCACTGTTAAAAAAAGATTACATTAAAATCACTAACCTCAAGAAACACTTTAAAAATATATTAATTTGAACCCATTCTTCAGCAATGGAGTTCTTGTTTTCTCAGTTTACAGATTTGTGAATYAAGTATAAAAATCCCATTTAAAAAAAGTGAATTGGTCCTTTAAGCTTGTTCACGCAGTTAAACCATTTTCTGTGAATCAGGCCGTTTTTATGGCACATCTGTTTATCTTCTGGCGGTCCAAATTTGATGATTACCGGTACGAGTTCAATCCAAAGCTTACAACAGTGAGGACTTTTTGTTTTTAGAGAAGTCCAGCAGTTGGAGGTGGATTTGTAACGTTTGTGTCCCTCACAGTCAGGTTCCAGGAGTCTGGGCTCTGTTCATGCAGGGTTACAGTCAGTGGCCGTCTCTTGCCCTTTCCTAAAGTTTGCAGTGAAACGKCGTCTTCTGTTTTTCTTTTGTTTTTTTCTTCTTTTTTTTTTTTAACCAGAGTGTCCTCTAGTGGTGAGACTTGGCAGGCCAAGTTKATAGAAACTAAAACTCCCAGCGGCTCAGGAGTATTCAGCTGGTGTAGGAAGTTGTCAGCGCTCCATCCTTTTACTTAATTAACTACATATGAATAAAAAGAGGAAGAGATATTTTAAAACTAATTAGTTGGCCTCTTTGCACAGCCACATTAAACCTGTGAAGCTTGTCTGGAAACTGAATCCACGCAGCAGGGAGCTGGGCAGCTGTCCTGAAACAGTGTTTGTGTGCTCCTGAGCCGGCGTCGTGTGACTCCTGAGGGTGTTGTGTCGTGTTGTTGTGACCGTGGAGCAAGTCTCTTACATTGATATATATATTTTCATAGCTTTGTACTACTTTTGATTAGTTACAACAACGAGACAGAGTCTGATATTCAGCAGGTCTGGAATAAAAAAGCGTTCGGGGTAACGTTTTTTACCAAGAGGGACGACTTTTGTTAGGGACTAAAGAGATCCGTTTATTTACACAGATAACCTCTCCTCCTAACAGGTAGTTTCTTTGAAGCACTCCTCCTCCTGTCCTCACCTTCCAAAATACATCCTTAAAAAAATCAGTTTGTTCTACAGATTTATGGGATTAACGCTAATGTTTTGGAAAATCCTCCCTGTTTTTTTTCTTCAAATCTACAAAGTGAGTCTGTTCAAATCTCTCTAAAGATCTGTACTGTTTAACCAGTGTGTTGAAACTGGATGTCATCTTTGGTAACAAGTTCTGTTTCTTTTTCTTTTTTRRTTTTTTTTTTTTTTTTGATCAGTCAAACACATCAATAAAAGTGCCTAACATAGAACACTACAGTGCTGTCTGTGTGTGTTTTTGTGTTTCCGACACAGTTTGAACAGTTGCAGTGATTTAATTGAACAGATTTTTGTGGGATTTGCTTTAGTTCTCACGGCTGACACAATCTGAAGAAACCACTTAAGTTTTGCTCATTTAGTCTGGAATAATCAGTGAAACTACAACATAGGTGCTGCTAACTGTGTTCCTTTTTTTTTCTTTTTTTTTCCTTTTCTTTGTGGCAGCTGCTCAGTTCATGTGTTTTCACTTTAAGTCCAATCAACCCAGGAATGAAAGCAAGTAGCTCTCTGGCACACGGCGCACACTTTTATCTTAAAGCCTGTGCTGATTTGTCTGTTTCTTCCTCCTTTTTTTCTTTTTCCCCTCAGATTTATTTTTCATTAAAGCTGGTCTCAGTGGATGCTGAGAGCAGAGGTCAGGCCTGCGTCGGTTATCTCACGTTCATGGCGAGCACAGGGAGGAGGGAGTTGGGAGTATTTCCTCTTTAAAAACAATGCGGTTGAATAAAGCCTTTGAAAATAATCAACGATGTCTAATACTGAAAATAAAACAGCCGGGCTGAGAGCTAATCCATCTGCTCAGACGTTCACCCTCTAATTGATGCAAGGCTTGCCCTGGGTTTGATTTCTTCCTGGTTTTAAGTTGCAGCTCTCCTCCTCCTCCTCCTCCTCCCTCACTTTTATGAGTCCTTTTTTTTTTTTTGTGGTCTGCTTTGAATAAGCTGTTCTCAGCAGTTATGGCAAATACATTTCAATCTGTTAGTAGAAATCTCTTTAATCTTATTTCCAATGTCTTAATCAGTCCCATACCTCCAATTGTGGTTGTTTGGTTAACCATTCTAACCGCCTTCCTCCACCACAAAAAGTATGTATACATAAAAAAACTCCATCTTTATAAAATTTGTCGTCCTGAGAAGGATCTGACAGTGTTTACGTTGGAACGGGGCCCGGCCCTCCGCTGCCTGCGTCGTAGCCAGGCGGGTGGTTGCACATCAGACACACACCCACATGTTTGTACAGTTTCCTCTGAGCTGTCACGGACGTTTGGTTATCTCACGCAGCAGTCGTTCACCTCCGTGGCTGCTCTGCTTCTCTCTCCTCTCCATGCTTGTTCCCTGGAGGAGACACCCAGAGGTCCTCTCTGTATGGTCTCAATCCTGAGACCTTTTCTTGTCGGGACTACTCTAATCCAGGCTGAGCAGCCAGCGCAGCAGAATATTTGAGCTTTTATTGTCCAACCTGCAGGGTTCACCTCATTTTAGTACAGCTCCGGTCCTAAATGGAGCTTTGACAAAGAACAGGCTTCGGGATCTGATAACCTCTCTTCGTCAACAGATGGTTTTCATTCTCAGAGCTGTTTTTCATCACTAAAAGGGAGTTTAGATGTGTTTTTTTGCAGCTTTATCTTAAACCAAATAAGTTTTCATACAAGCCTGTTCATATATTACACTTTCCTCCTTAATATCTGTAAACACACATAAAAGTTTAAGGTTGGTGTGCTGCATGTCGTGTCAAACTCAAGGCCCGTGGGCCAGATGTGGCCTGCCACYGCATTTAATGTGGCCTGCGAGAGCGTCAAAGATGTATTAATGCCTAAAAACAAGCGTATGCAGCAACATCTCCCATTTCACTGCATTTTCAAAGGCTACCTTTGTTGTGCCCCAGTTGTACTGGAGGTGTCAATTTAAACTGGAACGCAACTCGGGTGAAAATTCAGTCAAAAAGTGGGAGAGTTCAGAATTCAAGATGGCAGCTACTCTCTACAACCCGWCAGTTAGTAAAACTTTCTTACGTTTACTTTTAATAGTATGTCTGTATTATTTATTTCACATTTAGTCAGCCGTACACGTAGTACTTTTCAGTGTTTATAAAAGGACGAGTTAAAACACTTTCTATGCAGGAAATACCATGTAGAGCTCAGTTATTGTTTGTAAGCCGTGCTCAGCTGGTGCAACAAAACGATGAATGTGACGTTTCCTGTTTAGTTGAAGTTAAACGTGAAACGTTAAAGTTATTTACAACTGGCCCTTTGAGGACCACCATAATGCACGCTCATGTGGCCCWCAGTGAAAATAATTTTGGGCTCCAAATATTTTATCAGATAAACTGATAAACAAACAATAGATAAACAAATTGAACAAGTGAAGGAACTGAAGTTACACTTGTTTACACAATATCCTGGTCCACACATATTTAATRGACAGTATCTAATGCAGGGGTGCCCAACCTTTTTATCAATGGGGCCAAAATGAAAATCTACCCAAGGTTTGCAGCTAAATGCAACAATTTAATACATGAAATACGTACAAATATTACTGTTTCAGTAAAGTCCTTTTTTCATGACTAGGCTAGCAGCTAGTTCGGCGATCATTCGTTTTTTTTTTTTTTTGCTTGTTTTCAGCCCGTGCACTTAGAGAAAGTTTGACGTGCACTCAGGCAGCAAAGGCTAATGGGACATTTGTAGTTTTATAAAGTGTGAAAATCTACATGTGTGCTTAAACCTAATCTAAATGTCTCCTATAGTTACTTGTATTACATGTTTAATCTTAATATACTATAATTCAAAGAAAAAGTCAGCACTGTGAGTGAAAGTGGTGGGGCCAAATCAAATGGCTTGATGGGCCAAATTTGGCCCGCAGGCCRRGCTTTAGGCACCTCTGATCTAATGAGTGTAACACCCATCTTATGTCTCCTAGAATAAGGAAATTGGTATTAGTCTATAGTTTTGTGTCACTTTGACTGTTGCTCAGCTGTTTGTTCTTGTGGTTCAAACAAATCTGGACAAACTGCAAATAGTTCAAAATAAATCTGAAAGATTAGCACTTGGTTGTAATTTTAGACCTAATGTTAATTTTATGTATCAAAGCCTGTCATGGCTAAAGGTCAAAGACYGACTTGTATAAAATTAGGATTTCACACAAACATTTTGACCTTTTCTCTCAGTTATTACCCAGACATGGTTTTAATACAACACAAGCCTCTGTTCCTGCCGTCACACTACCTCTGCCCAGAACTAATGCACTATGGTTATGTAGAGAGCCAGTTCTGGAACTTGTTGCCTTCAGAAACAACATTTTTTGAGAATCATAATAAATTCAAAATGAAAAAAATATTTAATTCATTCAATGAAGTCAATGAATTGAGTGTTTCCTCTCTGCCTTTGCGTTTTGTATTATTTTGACGTTTGACCTGGTTTTTGTTTTTGAAGAGTTGACGTTGGTTGTCTTTGGAGGATTTTGCCGGCRGTTCTGCTTTGTGGTCATAGTGACCGATTTGTTATAATATGTTTTTATTTTTTGTTGGACCTCAGGGAAAGGGGCTAATGGGGATCCATATAAATAAAAAAATAAATGGAGGTACAAAAAAAGCACGTTACCCTGACCTTGGCAGTTACAAATTAGTAGTTATCAGTCACCACTGGCTAAAACAGCATACAGCTAATAACACCTTCCAATTACATGCTAACCTTTCCTCCTTCCCGTTCCTTTCGTCTCTCATCCTTCCTTCCTGGTTGACCTCACAGGTCAGGTCAGCTGCCATATTTGTCTCCCCTGTGTAATTGCAAACTATTTCTCTGCCACTAAAAGGCTATTAGGTGGAGCTGGTCGGGGCAGCCAACACGAGGCCGGGGGCCCTGCTTTCTTTTTTTCATTAGTCCCCTGAGGAACAGGACTCCTCCTGGCCCCAGGCCGAGACAGGCGGGCCCCTTTAATGTTTTTTTTTTTTTTTTTTTTTTTTTTTTGCGGAGCTCCAAAGCACTTTGTTGCCTCAATAAAGTTCATTTATGGGATAATAAGGCTCTGGAGGACACATGGTGCTGATTTGAGCAGAATGGTTTCAACATGGCTCACATTCTCCCTCTCTCTCTCTCTCACCGCCAGGTCTCCATTTCTTTCTTTGATTTTCATCTTGTTTCTGTTTCTTTCCTCCACTTCTCACCTTTCCGTGGCTCCTCACCTCCCATCCCTCTGCACTCGTCATCCGCCGTCATTTATTTTTCCTGCCCTCCCAACACTGCTGGCGGTGCAGCGGCAGGATCCTGATTTGACCTGGGATTTTTGCGCACACACCTGGGATTGAGTAGCAGCGAGGAGGGCGCGGGGTGGGTGAGGGGGGAGGCCTCTCATTCTCAAAGATTTATCCCAGGACTTTGAGTGGTCTATGAGGGGAAAAAGAGGCGATCAGAGGAATGAAAACCAGCAAACCCCCAACCGCTGGCAGAAGCATTGGGCTTTGCATGCCAGCACCACGCCAGAATCAAGAGCCTGGGACTTCAGCTGAACGGAGAGTGTGGAAGTAAATGGATGAAATCCATGTGTGGAAACCGTGTGGATGGGTTAACAGACACAGATTAGAACCAGGCTAGCAGCTCCTTTGCTTGTTGGCCACCTCTCCCTGAAACCCAGTGCACCACACAGCCCTGCACGCTAACCAGTTTCATCCCTTCTCCTTGTTTTTCTTTTCCCCTCATTAGTCGATGGTTAACCACTAATGCTTTGCGTATCTGCTCAACTTCTCTTCCTTCCATCATCGGCCCAGCCAGGAACAGATGGGGGCCCAAACCGCCACGTATCCCTCTCTGTTCTGATTTCCATCGTTCCCACCACTTCTCTGACAATAATCTCTCCCTCTGAAACAGAAAATCACCTCGGTTCTGCATGTCTGCTTGTGGTAAAACACAAGAGACGGTGTGTGTGGTTTAATAGGATAAGGCTTTTGGGGTTGTGGGGAGCTTGGAAACGTGGATCTGGCTGCTTCAGTCGTCTCAGAGACGCAGGTTCAGACCTGAGGGTGTTATTTTGATCCTGTTAGCCTGTGTTTGGAGGACTGAATGAAAAGCTGCGGGTCTGTGTGACCTGCTGATGCTGATTGCATGCAGTCTGGAAGACGGTTCATTTTCAGCGGTGTTGTGGTTTGGATCATTGTTTAAATCTGTTTGGCTGATACAAAGTCGTACTACGTGTAAAGTCCTCTGTTTCGGTACATATTGGGTTTTTG